TAATGTAACTATATTAATATTATTAATTGTAACAATAGTCGGTAAATAATTATGTATAGGACTGACAGTTGCTAATTAAGCAATATGTGATACAAAATGATTTCCTTCCAAGTTGTCTAATGACTTCCTATAAAATTGGCACCCACCTTGAAACGCCAATTACTTGGAGCCAGTTCATGAAGTTGATTATTTTATTTCTTACGCTTGTAATAGTACAACCTGCAAATCCGCACATTTATCTGTCTCATTAATCCAAGTAAGTTTTGTTGAAAAGGGAGGGTAAGATATCCATTTATCTAAATTAGTAAAAGGAAAAGAATAGCAACATATCATTACAAGAATTTAAAATAAAATCAATGACATTTAAAAGCAACTGTAAATAAGTTGTTTAAAGACAATTAGAAATGTGTGGTGTTTTTCCACATACAGATATAAAAATAAAAAATATTAATGGTTTACTACAGCACATGACGGCCGCTGCCTCAGATCGGCTAGTTTATAGCTGTAAATCTCTCGAGAAATGGAATCTTTTTCCTGTCACATGTCTCTACTGGCGTAGGTACTTAATATGCTCGTATATAATATATATTGGAGATTTGATAGAAAAACGAACTATTAGCTCTATTGCTAGCAATATAGGTACCATGTTATGTCGACCTCCATATGGAAACCATCGTAGGTAACTACTAGTGAATTCGCCACGTTGAACTACCTAATTCATGTTTGCCCTCTACTGGTGTACCGCTAGAGACTATCGTTCGTAAAAATAGTATATTTTACCTACTACATAACTAACATACAGTTTTGATCGAGTAAGTAATATCTATCCAAGAAGTTTCCGCTTAACACAACAAAAATTGTATTATCTTTACGAAAATATTTCCATAATTTATTTTAAGCCTATAAATAATTTTCGGCGGTGCAAATAATACCTATTCAGTTAAATGTTTCATGGATTGTTGTTTCGTAATAGTTATTTGAGTTGAACAATGGGCAGATTTTCTAGCGAAGTAGCCGAACAGTGCCGGCAATTTTCACATGAGAACAATTTTGAATGGGCCCCGGTTCGTCGCTATTGCCGACCACTGAGTCGTGGCGTCATAATCGCATCATGCATAGCGGTAGGCGAGCGCCAACAGCCCACGTCACACCACCGCGTACCACCACGCCGCGCCACGCCGCGCCACGCCGCGCCACGCCGCGCCACGCCGCCCGCTTCCAAACGGTTTTTCACCGACGCGACAAACCATTATGATTCTATTTTCATGGCAATAAGAATCCCCACACAGGGAAACGATTTTCACGATAATAAGCTTAAATTTAAACTGTCGAGGTTTTGCCGGTTTGTTGGAATATTCCCTTATGAATATACGTACTTAGATATTAATTTTAATTCTACGTTAATATTCATTTGATATCTCATGAATTCTCAGGTTATTATGATTATATTCTTCGGATATATTTTCTGTTGGGTTCATAGGTTTCGTTTTCAAGAAATAATAGGCTTACAGTTTGACTTCAGGCAATTTTAGGGTTCTGAACCAAAAAGTATATTTGTCCGTCAATTACACCGATAGGTATATACTATAATGCTATTTACTTGAATCTTGATTATAATTTAGGTAAGGTAGGGATTGATCATTAAAATGAATAATTTATAGGCATTACATTTTCAACTGTCAACATTTCAATCACAATATCTCACATTTTATAGTCCTATAAACAGTTTATTATTTTTATCAGTCCCCAATATCCAATGCTGCAAATAAAGAAAACCTTTTTCAAATATTATTTATTGCGTATCAAAACACAGATAAAAGATATCTCGTCTATAGTGTACTCATATCCCTATTATAATATGAACAGATTTTCTATAAAATGTCTACACTACCCGACTATGAAACACACAGCATCTATAGCGTTGGTCGAAGGGATTAAGTGAATGCTCCTCGCAACGGAGCTTATCTACGTGGACAAACTCCATTATATTCAAATATTTTTGTTGCTATATTTTATTTTTATAACCGAGTAAAACGGACCGTATCTACTAAATATCTTTGATCTCTGTTTCCATAGCGAATTGAGGATCTGAAAAGTATTTCAAAAGATTATATTTTTATTAAATTTTAGTACTTGCTTATTTATGGAATACTGAAGCTTTCGTTAAAATTAATTTCATGATAATGAATTTTTATAAGGTATCGTGTAGAATCATTGGTATCTAACGTCAGAGTTAGAATTACTACGGGTTGAAATCATATTTACCTAACCGCAGTACCTACGCGATCTGCGCTATATTGTGACGTAAATGAAAAACTGATTTGAAATAAAATTATGTCAATTTTTTTCTTAAAACTAATTTTTGGACAATAATAATAATATTTGGATTTTTTGTATGACTATCATTTTATAATAATAATAATCCACTGTGAAAAGACCTAAGTAGTAATGTATGTACAGCCATCCTATAATTCCACAACAAGAACGCGTGCTTAAAGTTGTAGGTTGACAGAGAACATGATTATGTCCAAAAAAAAGCATTGATATTGCTGTTTTCTTTATTTTCTTTTTTGACAATTCACGCAGGGCCATCTAGACCCAAGTTAAGCTAGCTAAAGCTTGTATTATGGGTGACTAGATATCTGATACAAATAAATTCTGATAAAAATATACATAGATATATTTTTTCGTAAATAATACATAGAAAACAGTCAGACCGACACAAACAATCATGACTCATGAATACAAATGTTTGTACTGGTTCGAAATTATTATATTGAACGGAATACATAACAATAAATCTCATATATCTTGGTAGATACATTTATGTAATTATATTTTTGATGTTTTAATTGAGGAATTTTATTTATTATTTTATTTCATCATTTGAGTCACCTTGTTATGCACCACCATATGTTATGCATTATGCTATCTGTGGTTATACGTAACATTAAGGAAACGATAAAATACTTAATTTAATTGTTATATTTAATTAACATGAAAAACTTCTATCATCTACCACTGTTGCTCCGTCGTTTTCATAAGCCGGCGCGCTATAAAATAATAATAATAAAGTGCAGCTTTCTATATGTAAAAGAATTTCAAAAATCAGTTGACAAATTTTCTGGCATACCGTATGCTCACATTGTCCCCGTTTTTACAGTATTTTCATTGCTGTTCCGCTCCTATTAGTAAAAGCCTGATGCGTATAGTGTTAGATATAATATAGGCTATTATACCTTTTTTTAATAAATGAGCTATCCAACATTATTGTATCTTTTAAATTTTATGTAGTGATTCAACGAAACGGACAAACCATTTTATTTTTATTTATAAATTAAAGTATTCGAGTCTGTGGGGTTTGCATGTAGATATATGTTTGCAACAAGCTTTCTACGCTTTTGCTTTCTACATTTATTAATTTTTAATTTAATTAAAATAAATTTAGTTAACTTTTATAAATTTATCACTTTTGCATTAAATAAATATTACTCACTCGTTACTATTCATACCATTCTGTTGAATTGTCTGACAGATTGATCTCTATATCTATAAGTCCGGCTTTGCTCACATAGCCTCTAAATTATATTTCTTACTCTATTTTATTTTCTAAGTGCAATAAAGATTTTGTAATAACCAATTTGAAAGAAGGGGGAGGGGCAAAACAAGATAAGATTCCCATGCTTTCACATTACTTCAAGTCTCCGTTTAATGTAAAGGTAGGTAAAATTTATACCGCATCTGCTTATAGGAACGTAGATACTTATCTAGACAGGTGTTAGAAATTTGCAGAACCTATATTATGGATGCTAAACAATTAGTAGTAAATAGTAATACTGAAATATAATTATATTTATAACAAACCTGATAACACACATAAAAAACACCCAGACTAATAAAAACATAGAATACGTCAATATTGTGCTCGTATCGAACCCTCGATCAGAAGTTAAACCGGTATGTCAAGTTAAAACCATCCACTAACGAAGAATTTTGTAAAATCCTACCCTTGCAGAGGAAAATTAGGGTTGAACTATTGCATAGAAAGCCATCGGTTTCATAGTTGTATGCATGAAATTTCTACCCAGATGTTTTAAAATAAATATATATCTAAATACTTTTAGCGTTCTTAAAAATATCGACAAAAATAAGCAAGTTTAATATGATTATACGCGGGGTAGGTACGTCATTTTTATGGTAAGGAAAATGACACAACTTATCAGAAAAATTCAGGTTTTCATTCAACTATACTAAGTAATAACTTACAAAAAAACAGAATTCACTTATTAATGTACACCGCTATATTACATTTTTGCTATTAGGTTACCTATCTGCTGATAAAGTTGGAAGATTCCTATCACGGAGATTATACTCGTACTATACAGTTAACAGTACCCGTAACCATAAGTAAAAACAATCACTACTGAAGGATATTAATGAAATTTCTAGACGACCAACCTGTTAAGAAACATATTAAATCAAATAAAAATATTCTTTTAAAAAATAAAATATTTTTAATTTTTCTAAGTTCTAAGGTCACAAACATGAAAAAAATACAGCTGAATTGAGAGCCTTCCTTTTTATATTTGTTAAAAGACTACGTATTAAGAAACTGTGCGTATAGTAGGTACTGGTAGTTTTTTAACACATCGAGGACGAAAGAAATGCCCTGAAACTTTTATTAGAACGAAATAACAACCTGTAATAGATAAACAAGGGGATGTTAAAAAGACCGTACAATTTCTGTAATACTTTGTTCATAATGTTTATAAGTAGAAATTTTAAATACCTAGTCTTATAAAATTTTAAACGACTATTTAATTTTACGTTAATACCACATTGCGTTTTTACACTCTAGATATTATAAAGAATATTAATTTGATTTGATGTACCTACTTATAATAAATAATTAAATTCTATTAACGTAACTACCAAAGAATCACAAAATTATACGATTTTTACGTACTTATTAATTAAAATAAAAAAAAGCAATTACTTACAAAATGCTGCAAGCCCAGCACCGAATGCTAATTGTTGGTGTGGTAACAGCATCGGACGAGGACAAAGCGGTAGAGGTGGCGGTGGCATCCACAGCGGCGGACTCCTCACCACCGGCCCAACTGCTTCATTATCCCCAATCTCAACGTCTGAAGACGATTCGCTTTCAAATTGTAATCTATCCACTGCTTCATTTGTCTGTTTCGTAACTCCAGACTCCTCCAGATGACCGTAAATACGAGCGAAAAATTTTCGTGGTGAAGACGGCCGCGGGATTTGAATTGGCGTTTGCGGATCTATTTCATTGCTCTCCATTTTATTATCGTTACTCATAATTTTATTAATAAGTTCGTCGTTCTCGTATGGGGTCACTAATTTAAGTACATGTGCTATCCAAACGCAGGGATCACGTGTATTGAAGTCGCGTCAGGTGCGGTGACATCCTTTGAGAATACGGCTCCGCCCCCTAAATAGCGCTTCGACCCTGTCTCATCTCCGAGTGGAAAGGGGTTGGGGAGAACAAATTCGACCAATCCGAGAGTTTATTGCACGCAAAGCCAGCCTTGATAGGCGTATTTAAAGTTTTCCGGCAATGGTATTTCCGAACCGATACGATATTGAAACCTTCAAGAAAAGAGCTTATTCCTTTTTAAAAGGATACTATTGTTACTTATAGATGAATTTGCTTCACGTTCAAAATTTTCCCAAAAATGGTACACATATATATAAGAATGGAACATCATGTAATTATTACATATATAAATAGGTACAATAAGCCTCTTAATGTATGTAATAGCAAAAGAGTTTAATAAGTGCGATTTTCTCTAAACTTTTTTCTCGACTTACCACCTATTTGGGCTGTATATTTTGCGGCAGAATATATAGTTAGTATGTATAGAATAGTATGGTTATTTAACGCAATGCAAAAAAATCATTTACTGTAAAACTGCCATTGAAATAGCGTATTGTATCGAATAATCTATGTGTCGGTCCTACGCGCCGTTCGCGATGACTACTTTACTTGTAGGTAGGTACCACAGATAATATAATATTGTTGAATGCAGACTTGTTGAATGAACATGGAGGTGTATTTAATATATTAAATTTTGTGAAAAACAAATATATTGAGACATAAAAATTACATCACGTCGTCCGTATCTTGTTAACAAATCCTTTAAAATCTAGTTCATATTCCTCGGAATATCTACCAATTCAAACTCAGTACTCAGTCTCACCCTGCCTTAGCATCTCTACATAGTCTGTGGTCTAACCTATTTCAGCCGCCAAGCAGCTTATTTGTAAGCCGTTTATCGATTGGAAGAGTGAGATAAGGCAGTGAAATTACGTAAGTATTAGGTATAAGACGCATGACATCGAACTTCTGCGGAATGGCAACACATGTGGATATAACGCGATGTCCGTAGCGCTGTATGTTGACGACGGTTACCACTTATCATCATCTGGACCGTCGTCAGCTTGTTTACCTTACCCTGCCTTTGTTTGCTTAAGAAGTTTCAAATATATATCAACATCAAATTATGCCTTTACAGTTGATTATTTAAAAAAAGAATGTAAGTAAATTATGTTATAAATCTATACATCTATACATATAAATATAATTGGAGTGTCTGTTTGTAATATTGAAATAACCGTAATAGTACGGTGCATGCATATACCAAAATAACATTTTTTTACAATTTTTGTCTGTCTGTCTGTTTGTTTCGGCTAATCTGTGAAATGGCTGGACCGATTTTGACGGGACTTTTTTTGGCAGGTAGCTGATGTAATAAGGAGTAACTGAGGCTACTTTTATTTTAGAAAAATAAAGTTAAATTCCACGCGGACGAAGTCACGGGAATAGGTAGTCGTTAATAAAAAAATTATTAAAAAGTAAAAAGATTAACGCACACTCACATAACTACGTGAGTACGTACTTAATAAAAAATATATACTTTGACAGCTCTTGCCGGCCAATTATTATTACCTATGTATTTCTTAACACGAAGTAAAATCTCTTTACAATAGTCGTCATCACCGTCAAAATATTAATGTAAATGTTATTAAAATATTTTCTTGACTGTATAATGCAGAAAAACGCCGCTGTATTCACTATCGTGTGTATCTTGTTGTGTTTGGCTTTCAACTATACTTTTCCTCTTCACAGAGGCACCAATATGAAATGGCCAATTACCCGGGTATATAGAAATCGTAAGTACAAAAAGTGAATATATAAAACGTAAGTTACTAAAATTCATAATATTAATACACAGTAATTACTGTTGTCCTAGATAATGTATAGTCAAAAAGATTGTCAACTGTCGATGCCTGCTGAACGCAACACTTGACATGGCGGTTGATAGAAAGACTAAAATTACTTGGTCTTTTGGATATACTTTTTGTCTCCAGTGCGTGCCTCTGATACATGACGCTGGCATAAATGGTCATAAAAATAACGACCGATTGCCATAGAAGAAGAAGAAGAAGATATGTAGATTGTAGATAGATACCTATATTTAATCCAACGTGTCAGTCAACATGAATACTGATATGTTTTTGTTTGTTATTGGTATTTCCATCAACGGAGAGTTAGTTAGTAATATAAATTGAAATACACAACATTTTTGGTGTCAACCAGATTTTAACTGTCACGACTTTTCTGCGTAAGAATTACTGGAAGTGCAAGCACCGTAGCCAAATAATAGATGCTATTTGGCCAAGCCGCTCACACTTAGATACTAAATTTACACACATCTTATTCCATCTACATATGTTTCAAATACCTTAGGCAGTAATAGGATAGGTGTACCCAACTCAGATACTTGGATACTTGTAACTTTTTCTTTATCCACTTTTATAACTCATGTATACAGGATGTGTGTGTTGACTCCAGGATCAGTAGGTACATAATATTTTTTAAATTATCCTTATTAAACCAATGTTCAATATTATACTATTTACAGATTCTCAATTTTGTAAAGCTTTACATCACGTAGACATTGCCGAAAGAACCAAGAAAATGGCAAATAATGTGGAAAATGCAATGAAAAAAATAAAACATTCAGCTAGCGACATTTATTTGAACGGAATAAAAAAGCTCCCTCGCAAATTCAAGCTTAGTGATGATGATTTTCGACAATTCGAATTGTCAGTTCTCATGAAAAAGTATCCCTATTTAGATTTAAAAGAGCTCGAGCAAAAATTGAGCCCATTGTCGAATAAAAATACAAGGCAAACTTATCATGCTCTCCAAGCTGATTTTGGAAACGATCCTAGTCTTTGTGAATCAGAAGAAGACGTTATTAATGTCGAAATATCAAACAGAGGTCTCTCAGGTTTTTCTATACCACCAAAACTTGTTAAAAGTGCTAGTATAGATGAGGGTAAATTGAATTTAAACAATTTCAAAAGAAGGATTGATAAGGATGAAAATCTCCTAGACGTATCGAAGACATCAAAACGGAATGTGTTGAATAGTTTAAAAGATGATATAATGGCATATGAAGAGAAAAAAGAGATAAAGTAGGTTATAATATATATCTATATCTGTTTCTATATTGTAGTTTAATTCCGCATGAGTTTTAGCGCTTGACTTTATATTAGGTACATTTACTAACAACTCACTTTAGACTGAAATAGTTTTGTAAGTATAAATATATCGACTTGTTAGAGTCAGCTGCAAGTCGTGCCTACAACTCAGTTTGTAACGTTGACTATTAGGCAAAGGTTACACGTTCAATAAATATTAGGATCCATAGATTTTGATAATTATTTTTTGAAATAAAAGGTGCCTTAAGTATATCTGTACTGCTCATAAGTACAATCTATTTTTATGTTATATTTCATTGAGAGTCGATCAGTCGTGAATAAATCATAACAAACAGAAAGTCAGACACGCTTTTACATTTATAATATTGCGAACAAATGGATGAGATAACTATTTTCGGATGCACGACATATGTAATCTGAAAAAATGACCGTTTACTTAATCATGATCTTTTATAATGAGAAAATCATTTTCTATTACAAAAAAGTGGGTTTGACCTTGCATCTTAATATGAAATACTATCTCTATCTATTTATACAAATGTGCTTCTGATACTTACATTTATAAAAAAAATAATTAGGTAATATTAAGAATCCGAAATATAGATTATAGATCATTTATTAAAGAAATAATAAGCATCTCATTAACTTCTTCCTGAAATACTTATATTGTAAAAGAAATTTAATATTAAAACAATTATTGATTAGCTGCATACCTATAATTACAAATGAAGCCTAGGATGCTGCTGGACTGAACCAAGTGACACAGTGTACTTTTCGATATCTAAAACATATTCAAAATTAACAAAACACAGCAAATGTATTTAAATGGTTTTAAATACATTTGTTTCTAAATTTATTACATACATTAACCCTTGTTGGTAGGAGTAGAAAAAGACGACGCAGACGACAAGGACAAACTCACAGCCCCGGATGGAGAAGATTGATAAGATAGTATGTAATATTATCTTATCTGTAAGAGGGACCTGTGATCCATTGCTAACATGTGTCCTATTAAGCCGAGCCCCACGCAATCCCTCTGGAGACTGTCGTGGCTAATTCTGGTGGTATCGCTACCATGACCTGACGAACCTGTGTTCATTCTCATCATATCAACCTCTATTGGTCCACCACTAGTATATAACATTAGCTAACTAACGTTCCATTTTCGTCCATAAAAATAGATTCCGAGCATAGATTTATAAATATGTCTATTACAACATCTATACAAATAAAAAAAATTGGTGTCTGTTTGTTTGTTCTTGTTAAACTCCGAACCTTAAACAGCTGCACCGATTGTGACGGGACTTTCCGAATAAAGTAGAGATAGAGATAGAAAGTAGGTAGATAGCTAATGTTATAAGGAGTAATTTTTTTATGGATAATAATGAAATGGTGCACTCGCCTGCGCTAACGGTTTACACTGGTGGGGCACCAGTGGAGGATGATAAGATGAACATGAGGTCAGGGCAGTTAGCCCATCATGACAAATTCTTGGTGAATTTGTCATGATGGACTAACTGACCAGACGTTTCCAGGATCGCGTGGAGGTCAACCTGACATTAGTCCACATTAAATCACACACATAAACAATCCCCTTCGGCCCTAAGGAGTAATTTAATCTTAAGTAGATTAAATTACTCCTTACTCCTTATTTTAGAAATTTTATTAATATAATGAAAAAAAGTTAATTTCCATGTGGATAAAGTCGCGGTTAACAGAATAAGAAAAATAAACATAGATAAAAATATTAAACCAACTATTAAAAACGTGATATAAGTAAACTCGATTCTTATATCATTTATAGCACTTATATTTTAATATATTTTATATAAAAAATAATCTATAGTACCTACTCACATATATTTTTTTTTTAATCTAGATTTATTTTGGGGTTGTTGTTTTTAGACATGTCAACCCCATTATTGCAAACTAATCAGAACAATTCTTAAAAATAATAAACAATCAAATAATTGCCAACTGCGAGGGATCTATTTATTAAGTTGCTTTTATCAGCGCACACAAACGCAGAGCAATATCCGTAGTAGGGGCATGTAGTATGCTCTGAATAGTACCCACATCAAATATTTTGTTGATTTTAAAATCTTTAATAAATAGTTCCCTCTCTACTCTATTCCTATCACATCTACTTATATTTATCGAATGCATAATACGATATTACGAATATAGGGTATTTAGAAACACAAAATGACTTGTAAATAAATAGGGACCGATATCTGACGACCTAAAAGAAGGTCATTCGAATTTAAAATATAACGTAGACGATTTAAAACTAACAATGAGTTATAATCTAATATGAAAAAAGCAGAGCTAATTTGTCGTATCTCTGTCAATCAATACTTTTTATTTTAATCCATACCATTTTGAAATACAGTTGTAGCCTCTCTTTCACACAGTGCTTACTTTTTTTTAGTTTTTCTTACAGTGCTTACTGAAGATAATATAAAGCCGTCATATGAATATCTGTCAAAGTCAAAATGACAAAAATGTCAACTTTAATCCACAGATCATTTAATAAACTTCAATCACATCTTTGAAATTTTCATTTGATTTGGAATAATTCTTAACTACTGAAAGTGACTGATTGTTTGCTATCTTATCAGTTTACCATAAAACCTAAGGTGCGTCTCCGTTGAAAATTGGTAATCCTGTTCTAGTGTAATTACAAAATAAATATAAACGTAATTATTTATAATTAAACATTGCTTCTTTCTTTTTAGCAGTTTCAAGTCAGTTAATATTTTTTATTTCATACAGTAAAATTACTATTAAATGCTAATAATAATAAAAATATATGTTTAGTGTAATATATATGTTTAATGAAATAACTTAATAAATTTTTATTCTCTATTAAATATCTAAATAAGTACCTAATACAAAAATAAGTTAACATTATGATTATAAACACCTACGTACACGTATAGACTTCAAGGAAAATAAACACGTTTATTAAATTACTTATTCCGTGTCTGTGAACAATCTGGTTAGTCTAGATGTTTTTTAACAACACTGTTATTTCTGTTATAATTTCCATTTATTTTTGGTCATGTTATATTAATTTATGTTTATGAATTGTATTTTAAATACATATACCACCAAGATTTCATCAAACCTTTTATTTTACTTGTTGATGTGCTTCTGTGCCCTGAAGTATAAGTGAAATAGTAGTGTAAGTAACCAGAAATTAAATATAAATGAATAAAAGGAAAAGTTTAATAATTATTATTATACATTTTAGTAGGTTAGCTTCTTACTATATTAATTATAGATGTGGTTGCTGATATATAGACAGGTTAAACATTCCACTAACATTGTCACTTGAATGCAAGATTTTTTACTTTAATATCTTTATGTATTTACCAAATAAAACATAGTATAAAAGCACAAAAGATAATGTTTCTGAATGCATATTATTCTACTATGTTAGTAGTCTATTCTATATCATCCTACATTGTTAGAGATCTAATATATGGTCATAGTCAAGTAATGTAAAAATGTATACACTACTTCAACTAGAGCCAAAGTAAGTCAAATTGGAGAGCTGATGCATATACTTCAATATCAAAGTATTTAATATCTGCTTTCTTATTCCAGGTGAAATGGAATTGCAATGCAAGGTACAAAACTATGAATGGGGTAAACAGGGGCTTAACAGTAAAGTTGCCAATTTATTAGCAAGCGCTGACCCTAGTGTAACTATTGAGCCCGATAAACACTATGCAGAGTTGTGGATGGGTACTCACTCAAATGGACCCTCGCTTATTATAGAACGAGGTGTGTTGCTGTCTGAATATATACAGAACAATCATGATGCAATAGGACCTGAAGTAAAAAAGAAGTTTGGTATACAAGTACCATTTTTGCTAAAGGTCTTATCAATAGAAAAAGCATTATCTATACAGGCACATCCAAGTAAAGTAAGTTGGTTTCATTTATATTTTTTGTGTAAGAGAATAAAAGAGTGAGCTTTGGTGAGCACTGGCCACAATGTTAAAAATGTTATGAAATATTTTTACCAGACTAGGGAACTACCATTCCATTACTTCTCTAATATTTCTGAAGAGAAAAATCTGAATTTTTACAGTTAATGAAATGAAATATTGTGTTAGACATATGTTTACATAACATTATACTTAAATAATTTAGACAATATTTCTATTTATTTTTTCTATAATGTATTATTGGCCATACTTTATATCTACTAAAAATAATAATGTATATAATATGGGGGGAGGCAGAGAACTCAGAATTTACAATTTAGTGTCGCACTTAATTTGAAGATAATTTTATAATACTGGTGATAAATTGATAAGGTGTCACGGAATTATCTGCCTATAATAGACCATGACAAACAAGGGATTAACTAAATAGTAAATTGCAATATGTATAAATCACTAAATTTGGAGTTACATAATTCTCCACATATATGGCTAATATTCTAATAAATAAGTATATTAGTATATATATAATAATATGTTTTCAGTCATAGTTTATTGATTTAAATAAGATATTACCTACATTCTCTATTACATAATTCATTACAATAATGTTGATTGTTTTCTGTAATTACTTTGGACATTCACAACATAGTTATAATGTGCCTCTTAATAGTATTATCACATATTTTTTTAACTTAAAATGTAATGTGGAACAAAATTTATTTAAAAGAGCAACACACAAGTTTTTTTTGGTCATTCAAGTTCTTCTTATGGTGACACAACTTTTCAAATGAGTGGTAGAATTTTAAAAATAAAACTTCAAAAGTGTTATATTTTATATTTTTGAGAATAAAGGTTTTTTCTATTCTGTTCTATATAAAAATAAAGAAAAATATTAAGTTATTTATATTATACATTGATGATGTATGTATTGCTTCTAATATTTCAGGAACATGCTGAACAGCTTCATCAGAGTTGTCCTGAAAGGTACACAGATTCAAATCACAAACCTGAGTTGTCAATTGCATTGACACCTTTCGAAGCCTTGTGTGGATTCAGGCTGTTACCTCAAATTCAGTCATATTTATCTAGTAAGTAATTTATTAAAAATAGTGTTGAATTTATTTATTTTATATTATTTATCCTGCTTTGTTTCTGTCCACCTGTACAAAGGAAGACTTATGCAAAAGACCAACTGTGCTATAAAAGTAGCTAATTTCTGGTTTAAATTTGTTTAGGATTTGGTTTTTTATGACAGAAGTAGACTTTTTAAATAATCTGCCTTATACAAGATTATAATACTATTTCGTAAATGTTGTGCAATAGTTACATATATAGAATATAATATTATGCAATAATCTTTTGCTGTTGAATGGAATTAGATATAACCATATATATAACAATATCAATAACTGAAACATTATATGAAATATGTACTACTTACTATATGTTTAGTGTATGAAATAATAATGTAATGTATAATTTTTTTTTGTTTTTAGAATTGCCAGAATTAACTGAAATATTGCCACAAGATGCTGTAAATGCTATATTGGCACATGAGGAACAAGGGAACAGTAATAAAGTCTTAAAACAAGTTGTTCAGGGCTTAATGTTATGTGACAAAACCGCTATAGCAAATAGCTTAAAGAGCTTGGTAACAAGACTAGAAAACGAGGGTAATTCATACAGTTATTTTTTATTTAAGATGTAAAACAAGTCCTTTGATTTATTTGTTTTGAAGTGTTTTCTGACTTTAACATATATAACCACAGCAAATATTTAGATGAAAGTTTTGAAGGTTCTGTTATGTTATTGAGAAATGTACACTAATAACGCTATATACTGTTAATGGAATGAGATGAAGAAATGTTTCACAATTATGTCGGTAATTGGACTCAAAAAATTCTTTTGAGCAATAAGATAGATGCCTTATTAATAGATGTATTAATTTAATATTTAAATGTACCCATTTTTTACTGTATAATGCAAATAGTCTAAGCGTATTCTATCTATCTATGTAATCAGGTCAGATAGATGATCTAGACACGCGGTAGCGTGTGAGTTTCAAGTAAACTGGCAAGCAGCACCGTGTGTATATTTACACGAACCATTTCACAATTAGAAAAACTCTTTCACACAAACCTGTCAAATTTGGTTCATACATTGAGACTTGGATAAATATGTGTTCCAAATTTCAAAAACATTCTCAAACGGTTATTTAGATATTAATGTCCAAAAATCGTCATTTTTATCACTGATCAACTATAGATCAAAATTATAACCCACTTCCAGATGACCTAGGAAGTTCAATGGTCTGTCCTGAAATGTATTTATAACAATATAAAATATCATTTCTTCTTATTTTTATACTGTATAATCTAACTTGCAAATATACGAAATATACTGTAAGCTAAACATGTTATTGTCGGTTCCTATTTTAATATTAGTAGTAACTATCGAAAGTAATAATTGTATATGAGAACTGGCAGGAACTTAGATATATTATCCTAAGTTATAAGAAGAAATGATATATTATATTATTATAAATACATTTCAGGACAGACCATTGAACTTGGCACCCATTTAGTTCTCATCTCTTTTGTCGTAGAAGTCAACAATCAAGGTATATATCATAATATTAAACTCGGCTATCATTAATTTATGTTTTTGATGGGATATATTATTACATGATTTATCTATAAGATTTATCTATTTCTAATTCTATTAAATTCTTTATTTTAATCTGTTCAGATCCAGAGACGCAATCAACGTTACTGTATCCGCTGATACGTCGTCTCCACCAAGACTATCCCGGCGACCTGGGCTGTTTTGCGCCTTATTTCATGAACTATATGCAACTTAGGCCGGGGCAGGCGATATTCCTTAAATCAAATTTACCACATGCTTATATTAGTGGAGGTAATTAATATATATATAATATATAGTTTAATATATTTTTTAAATAGTTGTGAATATAGTCTACAAAGTGTTATTGCCTATGATTTCACGATGGACACAATCATTATAGTAAATTACTTATCCTGTATTCTTTGGAAGCAGCTGTTATTTATTCATCTTTTATTTATATCATTACTAGCTGTGCCCACGGCTTCGCCCGCTTGATATTTTTAGACTATGTGTTATTCTGATGTCTAAGCTACATTATTCTGAAGTTTTAGCAAAATCCGTTCAATACTTTTTATGTGAAAGAGTAACAAACATCCATCCATATCAAACTTTTGTATTTATAATATTAATAAGATACAATAAGTAAAGTTGACTAAAAAAAATTTTGATGTAGTAGATTTAGTATCATCGATTACAGATACCAAGCAGCTTAATTTTTAAACTGTTTTGGTAGTTAAGTGAAATTAGGCAGTGAAATTACAGGACTCTTATCCTGTAATTTCACTGACATGACATCTTAGTCCTCTGTAATGAAAATGCATGAGTAGGATTGAGTATTACATGGAAATGTTATACTCGTATTGCTGTTCATTATATTATACAGAAGATAAGCAATGGTTACCACTTACCATCAGGTGTCTGCTATTCCAATTCCATTACCTACAGAACATTTTTAAACATATCACTTTCCACTGACTGTCTATTCACGTTATATTTTTCTTAATAGTAAATTAACAGCAAGCAGTTGTTTACATATTTTTTATGTATTTTTCAGACTGTGTGGAATGCATGGCTTGTTCCGACAACGTGGTACGTGCCGGTCTCACGCCCAAGCCTATTGATATCGAAACCCTCATAGAGATGTTAGACTACAGCAGCTATGCGCAGGAGCAATTGCTATTCAATCCACATATGGAGGATGTAAACTGCTGCATCTGGAGACCGCCGGTACCTGACTTCGCTATAGTCAAAATTAGGGTAAGTCAATTTTACAATTTATATATTTTTACTAACTTTCCGGTGATGGAAACACTGATAACAAACCAAATTAATCTGAAAGGCAGCAGTAGGATCATACCTTGCCATGTTAATATAAATATAACCATTGAAATGGGTGCATGTCAAATACTGTGTTTATCACAATATCGAAACCTGTTAATATCTGGGATAATAGTTGTGAAGGTATATTAATCACGAGTACTTAAAATTAATTTCTATACCCATTGCTATAAACTAAATTTTATCTTAATCATGCAGGTGGAGAGCGATGGTGATCCTTACAACACCATAATCAGAGCTAGTCCAAGCCTCATTCTCATCATTTCCGGATCCGGAGAAGTATGTGATACATTACCTATCACAGCTAAGCCAGGAGTAGTCGTGTTCTTGAAAGCCAGCCGCCAGTTGACAATAACACCATCCCCAGGGGATCATATCGAAGCTTACCAAGCTATATGCAATGTTTAACATCTTTTTCAATAACACAACCAAATCTATCATATACTAATGTTCTGTACATATCATATACTAATGTACAGAACATTAGTATATGATAGATTTGGTTGAAACTGTAAACAATAATGTCAGTAATTTTGATTATTATTCATTCAGAAATTCTTGCCATAACAATTTTTTTGTCATTTTATTTGTCTACATAGTAGATTTAAATTAGTGGGGCATAGAGAAGCAGTACACTCCACTTAAAAAAACATATACTGCGATACCTAAATATTGTAATGTCCCTCTTAAATGTTTTGATTTCACTTATTATTATAATTGTCTTTATCACATTATTTGGGATCAGCGCAGTATGTCATCTTTCACTGATCTCCATTGTTCGTTATATGTGATATCATCTTTGCTTTTATGCATATCATCTTTAACATATTTCAATCATGTTTAATTAATTACAATGATAGTTGCTAATTTATATGTTATCTTCCATGTATTCAATATGGTCTTAAATCTACATATAAAAATGTTTGTAACTGTAAAGAAAGTCTTAAAGTAAAGAAATCTCAGGACATTTTACTCTATTTACTCAGACCCAAGTTATACTAGCTAAAACTTGTGTTATGGGTACTAGATAACTGATAAAAATACATACATACATATTTTTTTTCGTAAATATATACATATTATACATAGAAAACACCCAGACCGATTCAAGCAATCATTCTTATGTGCACAATTGTTTGTGCCGTGCGCGGCATTGTATCGAACCCGCGACCATCGAAAGTAAGACGGTGTGCTAAACCGCTAGACCACCGAGGTCGTCAAAAACTAAATTTATATAATGAGTATTTTTATTTCTAGGATAATGAAAATTAAATCAATACTTCTATTTTAATGGACATGAATATAGACATTGTAATAAAGCATTTATAATTAAATAACGGTATCAGAAAATAATTATCGCATTTTAAAATTTTATTACATTAAGTGTTTAAAAAGTGCATCTTATGTATTGGTATTTGTATGATCTTGGCTGTTTCATTCTGCCATATAAAGTGTTTTCAGTTATTAATCGTAAGCTTAAGTGTTTTTAATAATTAATATTATTGTTTATGCTTAATAATAAATAATTACTTATATTGCTCGTATAAAGAACTTAAATTACGTAAAGTATTTTTTTTGTGTGGACATGTTTAAATGGAATCTGTAATATATTACGCATTTCTTTAAAGGTTAAGAAACATATTCTACAAAGCATTTCTTTAAAGGTTAAGAAACATATTCTACATTCTTGCAGTCCGTTTTTTCAATGATTGGCTTTCTGATATAGATGATATGATGATATAGATATTAGTTTTATGAATTTAATGTTTTCTGATAAACACCGTCCGCTATTTTTCTTGAGTCTGGACAATAAAAATAAGGAAACATTCTAAACCTTCCGTGTTTTTATTATAATGCGTTCATTTTGTTTTACCGTGGAATGTTTTTGATGGCATTGATTTTATTATTATGAATACAAACAAAATCGCATGAGAATAACAGCAGCAACCTACAAACAATTCAAATTCAAAAATCATTTATTCATGTAGGACATTTTAGCCGCTTATGAACGTCAAGTTTTTACATTATAATTTTTTTTCCCTACTGTCCAGTTCGGTATATAGATCCAATTGAGAAGAACTGGCAAGAAACTCAATTGAATTACTTCTTTTTGAAAGCCAATTTATTTACAATCTATAGGTATTCAGGAGTTCTTTTTATTTTTATTGAAACAACGTAATTTTTGTTTTAAATTATACAATTCAATATTTTTTATGTTCCTTAGTTGATTATAATGAATATGGAAGGTTACAATATGCACTAATCAAATTAGGCATTTTTTTAAGATTATTTTTTATTATTAGCTAATGAAAATGTATATCCTCTGTTTATATAATCTATAACCTACTAACCAGGAATGCCAAGCTTACGAGATTACTCGTACAATTACGAGATTTATACCTACGGGAGTCGGTCGAATAGTACCTAATGTTAGACAGCCAAATTGAGTTGAGATTGAGATTAATACTAGATTTTATCTCTTAGTCGGACGAGGCAGAGTGTTTTAAGGTTGGCAATTCTGCTATAAAAAATTAAACTATAGATTTTATCACTTCTTGTTATGAAATAACATGAATGAAAAAGATAAGCATGCAATACCTGAAATACTTTTCTTACACGTTATAAAGAGGATTGTTAAAGTTTACAGTATCTGGGCTACAAAATATTGCCTTTAATTTTATTAGCTAGTCTAATAAAAATAAAGGCAACATGAAGGCCTTCTGAAATGAAAATTTCGTAAATTTATATAGACATGTAGGTAAATATATCGTAAGGTATAATAAATTGTAGGTACTATACTTTTACAGAATATATTTTTTTAATTGTTATATAGAATTAAAGAAAAGTTCCTATTAAAAAGTGTTGTTTTAATACTCCTGGAGATTTATAGGATTTAAAAGTATCATGTCCTAATTATCAAAATAACTAAGTTGTTGAAAAGAATTGTATGGTAAAAAATAAGCATTAAAATCTTTTACCATCGTAATTTTAGCCACACAGAGTTGTAGTGACCCGAGCTGAGCCAATTTTACCTGCACCATCTCTGCTTCTCGTTATGATTTTAGTGTCTGTTTAGACCGTTTAGATCATTTTTCTGATATGAATATACGCAATATTTGTACAAAATGTAGGTATTTAGATAGAGAATGTGTAAGCACGGAAATAAATAGTTCGGAACGTCTCGCCAGTCTGTTACGCGGTCGAAACTAATCGTGTAATCACATGGCTCCCAAACCATTTGGTTAGCGTTTCTTATTCAATTGTATTTCGATACACGATTCTTGCTTTTTATTGCATGACCCGAACTAACGAATCCAAGATCGAATTTCTTGTTCGTCTGATTTTCTATACTTATTGGCAAATAGATTTTGATACTTTGGATAGTGAAGGAAAGCACCAACTACCATAGGAAATGCTGACAGGTGATTTTATTTTTGAATCATTTAATAATACTATTACTAATTATCTACATTGAATATGAGCAGCAATAACATAGTCTCTCACATGCGATGTATGTAAATTGAGAAAAGTTTTGAGAATAGTTTCTTCTTTCTATTGCTCATTGTTGTATATACATATTAATATATAATAGTCTGTTTTTTTTCTCTGAGGAGAATAATAAAGAATTTTCATTTCATTTCATTTCAAAGTCTTGAAGCTAGCTTCAAACGTTTATATGTAGAGTTGACTACTAGTGGCTTCAAAACTTTCCTGCTCAGTGTAATCAATCTCTAGCTGTGTTACAAGTCTGCACTGTATCCTTTCGCAGTCAGCAGTCAGCAGTGGATTGTCTAATTCATTAGTCGTGGTAAATGTAAAATTATATCATATTTTCTGCAAGTGCTTTGGATGTTTGGTATGCGCTTGCCTTCAGGTGTGTAACACATTTCCATCCCACCACGTTTTTAGAATTGTCTGTTATTTGTGCCATACGTATTGTATTAGGCTTTTCGTAACTTTAGTGTTTACTTAATTCCAATCGGTTCACAAATAAAAAAAAACAAAATCTATTGTTACTCCAAATACGCTTACGACTTCGCGAGCAATTAATTTTATAAATATATATGTACTGAAAGGTGCTATATGTGTTAAGTACATTTATATATATGGACTTCTATAAAATGAGATATTTCTTTATGCTTAAAATTTACTGAAGTAACTCGAGATACCTCGACCAAACAGCCATATTATCGCCGTATAAGTCCATGAACTCATATTAAGTATATTACATAGTAGGTATATGCGATATATGAAGGATAGTAGTGGTGGTTCGCCAAATAGGTAAGTTCGATATTTAAGTGTTTTTCTGCAATGACTAATTATCAGCTAATAACAAGTAATTATAGATACCAATTAGGTATGGCACAATCATAATCGATATGATTGGTAAATAGAAACGGTTAGATTCGAATATTTTCAAATTTGCCACCTTTTTAGCACGCCTATGCCTACTTTAGAAACATTTTATGTTACCTAGTTCACATTTATCTAATAAGGAAAATTATAAACTTGTCTATGTGTATCGCCTGCGTCAAGAGTGTTTCGTTATAGTTGACTAAGCACCAGTGGACTAATGATAGGATGAGGATTAAGTTTTGTAATTAAACCAATCATGGTATATTCCCCAGAAATTCACAACGGTGCAGTGGTTTCCAAGGGAGTCCGCGTGTATCCCCATCCCATGAGCATATAGTGTTGTATTTATTTATATCTTACTAAAAGAATCTAGCCGAGACATTAAACATTTTTAATAAGAGGAAAGGATACTTTTGCCCAGCGGCAGTCTATGGGGTATTGTACTGATGTATACGTCGTAGTTGACGGTCTCGTTGTCTCTATTTATATTCAGAACTAGGTACGATAGATAGTAAAAAAAAAGGAATTTAAGAACATAATATATACATTTTTATTGTCATTGTATATTTACTTATTTCCAAAAAAAAAATTTAATTACTACCTATGCCCGTGACTTTGTCCCCTTGTTATAGTAAAAAATGATCATCCACTTTTTACCAATATTTAGAAAAACTAATTCAAATAGAATTAATTTTAAAAAAATGTTCATTATCCCACAGTGCCTACTTAGGTAGCCAGCTAAGTGTAGTGAATATCAATTTATCGCTAACTGCGCGTGAAATTTGCATTAGATTTGAGTAAGTAGGGCGAGCACAGAGTCACCAAAAATAAATAGGAGGGTTTTGTAAACAGTTTCCTCATTTTAATTCGCACAGATTGTTTCGTTTGGAAACAACGTAACACTAAACTTGCGATTGCGTACCTCTTATCTTGATCGTTGACCGTTGCTAAACCAAAGGTTGATTTAGCTATATTGTTCAGTACAGTCCAAATCGTGGCCCGCGGCCACATGAGGCCCGCGGTTTGAATTGATGCGACCCGCAAATTTTTTTCCTTTACGTATTTATTATTTGTTTTT